TAAACGAGAGCTTTTGGCATAAGAGCACCTGTAACAGGTTACCTAGGAGTCATGGAATCCCCAGCATCAGACGTTGTTTACAAAAGATTGGACAAAACACCCATCAGATCGTCTAGGTGTACTTGGTCCTGCCTCAGCCTGGGGAGGGATGGATTAGATGACCTCTTTCATAGAACAGAATCATAGAATCTCAGGGTTGGCAGGGACCTCAGGAGGTCATCTAGTCCAACCCCCTGCTCAGAGCAGGACCCATCCCCAATTTTTGCCCCAGATCCCTACATGGCCCCCTCAAGGATTGAACTCACAACCCTGGGTTTAGCAGCCCAATGCTCAAACCACTGAGCTCTCCCTCCCTCCCTCTTTAGGTCCCTTCTGCCCTGAAGCCCACCACCCCGCCTGCTGATAAAGGATCAGCGCATTGGTCCAGTGAAACTTTTCAAACGTTGACCCAACCCTCGAAGCGCCAGGAGACACGGCACAGAATGAGCGTGGCAGTCTCCGGGTATGTCTACACTGCAATTAGACGCCCGTGGCCGGCCCCTGCCAGCTGACCCAGGCTTGCGGGGCTCGGACTAAGGGTCTGTTTAGTTGTGGCTGAAGCTCAAGCACCGAGGCCCTCCATCCCTGCAGGGTCCTAGAACCTGGGCAGCGACCCGAGCCCCACCGGCTCCACCACAACTAAACAGCCCCCTAGCCGGAGCCCAAGTTAGCTGGCAAAGGCCAGCCCGGGTTTGAATTGCAATGCAGACACGGCCTCTCATCTCGTCTCGGCGAAAGCCAGCGCCGTATCTTCCACTAGCCGGATACTCTTGCCGCTGACGGGCAGAACCGTGCTGGGGGGCTGGGATTGTCAAAGGCGCTGGAAGGCTCAGCGGGAGCCTGTCGCTGTGCAGCCTCGGCCTTGAGCACCCCCTTGTGGCAAGCGGCCGCACAGCCCGCATGCCTGTCTCAGTTTCCCCGTCATTCACCCCTGCAGAGGCACGGAGTCGCACATAAAGTCTCTCTGGCTCACTTTTTTAAAAAGGGTAATGCTGCTCTCAGCATTGCAACCCCCGATTTAGGATCCTAAATCCCATTTTCAAGAGGATTTAAGCACATAAAAGCAGTGTGCGAGTCCTGAAAACAGTGCCCTGAACGCACGTCCACAGCTCTCGCTCATAAGGGACAGGACCAGAACATCCTGCAGGCTGCCCGTAGCGGCAATCCAGGACATTCTGGCACAACTCAAGCCCTGCTTGGGCACCAAAATCCCACCACCAGGATCCGTGATACCTAAATCCCTCTTGCAAGTGAGACTTAGGCTCCTAAATCAGTTAGGCATTGCAATGCTGAGAGCAGCAATATCTAAACACCTTTAAAATGCCAGGCCTCAGTGTCCGGTTCCAAGGCCCAGCACTGGGCATGGTTTATTCCTTTCCCCGCGCAGTAATCCACAGAACCACAGGACACAACCAGTCTCCCCACATCCCACAAGGTTACAACAGAGCAGCTCTTCAATCCCCTTGTAAAGTCACTGTTCCCAGGGCAGCCGCCTGAGAGTCATGAACCCCTGTCCCAGTCCCTTAGCCCCTGTCCCAGGGCCCCACTCTCCAGGCCTGTGATTTCTAGGAGCTTCTGTCTCACAAGCTTTCCCCTGTAGCCCCAAACCAGGTCTCCCAGGGCCACAAGGGTCCCCACAGCATTCCACTCTCCAGCCCTCCTCATCCTTGTGTCCTATCCCTGTTCAGGGAACCTCCCTCCAGGACCAACCCCTTATTCTTGTGCTCCCCCTCAGGCCCTCTGCCAGAGGGCTCCCTGCAGCGTTCCACTCCTCAGGCTTCCTCGCCTGCGAGTCCTACCTCTGTTCCTGGCATCCACCTTCAGAGTCTGCCTCTTGCTTCTGGGCCTGGCTTGCTCCAACCAAGCTAGGTCTTGTCCTTTGCCCAGGGGCTTCTGCCCAAGCTCTCCTGTGACTCAACAGGGTTCCCCAGCTCTGGCCAGTCCTCCAAACAACTTTCCTTGGAGCTCATCACCAGCAGCTCCCACTTACTGCTTTCCTTCAGTTCTCCTATAGCTGATTCCCCCCCCAGGGCAACTCCGTATTGCTCCTTCTGCCCTGCCTCCCCTCATCTATGGCCCAGGTATCTTCTCTTAATCCAGTTGGGAGGCAGCTTGCGAGTCACAGGTGCACTGGCCTCTTCCCACATACAGAGCCAATCACCCCGTGACACACCCCATTTGAAAATCCCAGCTGTGTTCCCTCTAGCTTCCAGTGCAGCGCTGCTTCCCAGGGAGCTGAAACCCTCTATTTCCCTAACCAAATGTTTTGCCCTTTCCTGAGTATTCAGGTCTCAAAGGTCAGTAACAAGAGAAAAGTCCTGACACCCGTGTACTTGCCTTGTCCTGATTCTTGTCCCAGAGATCCTTGTGGCTGTCCTTGTGTCCATCACATGAAAGAGGTTGGCTAGTCATGGCTCTGTGCATTTCAGACAGAGGTGAAAGTAAGCCAGTCCGGTCCAGTCCGGTTTGCTGGACTGGACTGGCTGGTGATTTAAAGGGCCCGGGGCTCCCTGCAGTGGCCGGAGCCCTGGGCCCTTTAAATCGCCGCCCGAGCCCAGCTGCCAGAGCCCCGGGGTAGTGGTGGCAGGGCTCTGGCGGTGATTTAAAGGGCCAGGGGCTCTGGCCACTGCGGGGAGCCCTGGGCCCTTTAAAGCACCGCCCAAGCCCCACTGACGGAGCCCTCGGGTAGAGGCGGCAGGGCTCCGGTGTGATTTAAAGGGCCCAGGGCTCCCGGCAACGGCCGGAGGCCTGGGCCCTTTCAATCGCCACCCAAGCCCCAGGGCTCCCAGCCGCCTCTGCAGCTAGTAGCTGCGGGAGTGATTTAAAGGGCCCGGGGCTCCCAGTCGCCGCTACCGCAGCCCAAGCCCCGGGGCCTTTAAATCTTGATTTAAAGGGCCCCGGGTATTTAAAGGCCCCACCTCTTCTGGTTGAGGCCACACCCCTGCTCAGGACTCCGGCGTACCGGTAAGTCCTTTAAATTACTTTCACTCCTGATTTCAGAGAGAAGGCATTTCCCACAGATGCTGGTCCTTGCCACAGGGCTATGTGGCTGTGTTCCACACTCTCAGCTTCTGGTTATTTATTCTTAAATGTTCCAATCTCAGGAAAAAACACCTCCCACTGTGAACCAAGTTCTGTGCTGTCTTCCTGAGAGGCAGAACTCCTGAAACAATAGCTCTGAGATGAGCGGACTGCCCACATCCCTCTCAATGGGGCGAAAACGCTGAAAACGAATGGTGACAATGTAAATGGCAACCCCCGTGAACTATTTCACTGCTGAACATTTGAGCAGACACATCCAGCTAGCGTGCTCCTCCCGCAATCCCAAACCACCTCCCATGTCTTCCTGAGCGCCACAGACCTAAACGGCCTCCTCGCCAGCTTCCAAAACTCCAGCTTCCCCTGAAGACTTCTATGACGTAGCAACATGTTGTCAGATGGATGACATAGGCTGGCATCTCATAGGCCATCACATTTCACCCACAGTGCTGGAGGCTCCCTGTGATGGCAGGGAATTGATTTGGTGAGACGTGCTCAAATGATCCTCGCCGATGATCCGTGCTACAAAGCAAGGCAACCACCCCCGCCCACAGGCCTCCTGCCAAGCTGACCTCAGGGAAAGTTCTTTCCTGACCCCAAATCTGGTGATCAGTATGACGCTGAGCATGTGAGTGAGACTCACCAGCCAAGCATCTAAGGGGTTATCTACATGGCCCTGCAATTTGAACTATGAAATCAAAGCACTAACGCAGTCCTGTTTCAAACAGGACATTTAGCTCGCACCTGCAGCGTCTACACAAGGCAGTTACAGCACCCCACTGAGATGGATGCAATTCACCTCCTCCCGTAGTCCGGGGCCAGAGTAGACAAGCCCTAAGAGAGTATTCTCTGTACCCGTCTCCAGCTGTGGCTAAGCTCTGCTGCTTCAAAGCCACACAAACTAACAAAAAACCCAACCAAACCCCCACCCCCCAACCTCCCAAAAAGAAGAATGTATCTGATCAACTGTGCACTGGGAGAGAAACCCTTTCCTGACCCCTGCACCTGACGGGCAGAAGCCCTGAAGCCTGAGATTTGATTACAGCCATTGTTTTAATGCAGAGCTGCCAGGGTTATAAGCATATTGAGGGCAATGCAGGCAATCCTGTCCTCCCATGGGGACAGGATGGGAATGAATAGGGGGAACTCATGGATTCACAGCGTCCGAGGCCAGAAAGGACCTTCACAACCATCCAACCCCTCCCCCTCCAACACACATGCTGTAAAACAATTCCCAGAAGCTGGAGTAAAGCATCTCTTTTAGAAAGACGCCCAACCCCATTTTAAAGATGCCAAGCAATGGCGAGACCACCCCCTGGGAAGCTGATCTACTGTTTAACCACCCTCAGTGCTAGGGAACCGCCTCGTATTTCCAGGCTGAATTTGTTGAACTGCAGCTTCCAGCCATTGACTCTTGGTATGTAAAACCGGAAGAAAAGAAACCAAATGCAAAAGCCCAGAGATCTTCTCCATGTGTAAATTCCTATTTACATGGGGAGCAGCACAAAATAAATGGAACTTGATATGAAAAATAAGCGGGGACTGATTGGATTGTTTTTTTTTCGTATTTAATTCAATGCAAACCTGACTGTTCAAAATTCAGATGATGCTGCCATGGAAAATATCAAGAGCTCCACAGACTGGAGAGGTCTTGAGCAGCAATTTGGTCCAGCCCGCTGCAGAGTACCCACGCCTTGACTTTAGGTGAGGTCGGACTGTGTGTGTTCAAAGTACAGTGTCTAGCCCTATTGTATATACTGTACTAGGTTTCTAGAATAGGAACAGATTTTTCCCCATCTCTTAGGTTATACTGACACCTCATGGTTTGGAAGGAATGGGGTTTGGTTTCTGCTCTGTGTGTATACATGATGTATATATGATTTGCTTTTGTGTACATATGATATTTTTTCTTTTGCTGCTAGAATGACCTTGTGTATGAAGAAGGGCCGTGATGGGCATGTGTCTGGAAGTTGGTCTTCAATTCTGAAAAGGATTCTATAAGTAGCATGCAGTGTTGATGTAGCCATGTAGGTCCCAGGATGTTAGCGAGACACGATGGGTTTATTGGACTCTGCTGGTGAGAGAGACAAGCTTTCGAGCGGACACAGAGCTCTTCTTCAGCTTAGTTAAGTCTCACAGTTAGATTTAAGAGAGGGAAGCAGGATAATCCCTAACACGAACAGATTTTTTTCCCCACGAACTCTCTGATTGTTTTAAATTTTTAAACGTTGGCAGTGTTGCCAACTCTCGCAAGTTTAGCCTGAGTCTCACAATATTTGGTGTGTTTCTTAGAAACCCAGCTCCTGGAATCATGTGAATATATGAGAATCTCAGCTTTTGTTTACCAAAAAATTGTCTGTTTCTCGCTTTCACTGTTGGGGAAAAAAAGATTGAAACTGTGACCCAAGCGCTCCCTAAAAGTTAAAAATCAGAAGGTAAATAAAAACCTCAACATTATTTTAAAAAAAACTCATGATTTTTGAGCTAATCTCTTGGTGTTTGTGGACCTGACTCATGACTTATATAGCAATACCGCATTTGCTTAATTAGATTGTAAGTTCTCTGGGGCAGGGACTGTTTACAGTGTGTTTTTAGGGACTGCTCACCGTGCACCGTGTTTGTACAGCACTAGCCTAGCACAATGGGACCCCAATTCGTGGTTTATCTCTAGCCCAGTGGTTCCCAAACTTTAACAGCCCGCGAACCCCTTTCGCTAAATTGTGAAATCTCGTGAACCCCCTCCTAAAAATGAGTATTTCCAGGGATTTAAGTTTAAATTTCCTCCGCACTCCGTGGGGTTCCTGCTGCTGGACCCCGTTGACCGCCCCGGTCAACTGCGCTCCACTGAGCTTGGGCTGCAGATCCCGCTGACCGCTAGGGCTCGGGCTGCCAGCCCCAACTGTCCTGCCCTGCTCTCCCTGGGGCTCAGGCTGCCAGCCCCATGCAGAGTGCTGGGGTTCGGGCAGCTGGCTCCCCTGCTGATGGGGGCAGGGCTCGGGCTGCCAGCCCCAATTGCCTGGCCCGCTCTCCCTGGGGCTCGGGCTGTTTGCCCTGCAACCGGGCCCCCTTCTGCTGCCTCCAGTGCCTGGGGTCTTCTGGCTGCCATTAGTGAAATGTTTCTGGCAAACCCCCTGTAACGTTCTGCGAACCCCCAGGGGTTCGCGAACCCCAGTTTGGGAACCACTGTTCTAGGCACTATCATAATAAACATGATTAATAACATTTACCTTTACAATGTTTTGACCCCTATGCAGCTGTTGTGCATTAATGCCTAAGCACCAGAAAGTGAAACTGACTAGAAACAGAACACGAAAGTAAGTCAAACTGTTTCAGAATCCCAGGTGCTTTTATTTATTCAATAATCACACATATGCTCTCATTAAAAGGCATAAAAATTTGTGCAACAGTGAATGTTTCCAACCAATGAAAGAGGAAAATAAACTGGAGTAGAATCTGACCCACTGTCCAAATGTAGAAGTTACAGTGTTATCAATAAGACGATAAAAGAGGCAAAGAAATCTGCTTTTACAAGTGCTATAATTTGTTTTTAGAATTTTTGTTTTACTGAGTGGGTGATAAAAGCAGAGAACTTCTGCAATAGCTGTTTTTGAAGGTGACAAAACTATGATCACAATTCAGTGCACAAAGCAGCCAATGCTGGTTTAAAATGCAGGAAGAAACCAACTTGACGTTTAGGTTCCCAGCCCGAGTGTCATAGATTTTCAGGCCAGAAGGTACCATTAGAATCAGCTAATCTGATCGCCTAAACTTCTGGGAGAGACCGTGTAGGCAGAGAATAATTAATGTGTCCCACACATGTTCTCAGCAACCTGCTAAGGGCAGAACTCAAACTCACAGATGCTTCTTGGGTTCAGTGACCACAGCAGATCACCAGGAGCCATCCATTTGCAGTTTGCTGGGCTGGCAGTTAAAAAAATCCTATTTTCACTTGTAAACTACGCAAATTACATCTGGAAATATGGAAAGGAAATACAACCCAGATCCACCAAAGTACGTGCTTAACTTTGAGCGCATGCTCAAATCACACAAGCTCAAGTACGTTACTGAATTTGGACCTAAATATGGAAGCTCAGTGGTGATTTTGGGCTTCCCGCCCTATCCCTTTTCAGAGCATAACCACTTTGCAACCAAAAGAGTCATATAAATTAAAACCAAATATGCACCTTGGGAAATTTAACACTGATCTTTCAATAAAAACAATCACTGCTCAGACTTCATAGAACAGCGGGACCCAGCAGGACATGTGCTCTTCACTTATCAGCACTCGTTATCGCTAACAGGGCCTCTTTTAACAGAACAGAATGCAGCGCCCAATCCAAACCACTGCTGTAAACAAGTCGATAAATAAATCCATTTCAGAGGTTAAATATTTACAGTACCAAACATACAAGTCACCCGCATTGCAATGAATGGGTATAAATAAGGTCCTCCGCATGGCTCCAATCCTGCAATTGGATATGCATGGCCAGACCCTTTGACTACATGTTCACACAGATCAGATCGCAGGCTTGGGTCCATGGAGCGACTGCAGCATTGCATCGAAGACCACACGTCAAGCAGGTTAGTGCAACTTCAAATATAGGGCCCCATGTAGCATTCCAAGCCCAACAAAACAATGAGAGCAGGATGAAAATAGGGAACGTCTTTCTCCTGGCCCCACCCTGAAATACCACACACACAGTATTCACCATTTTGTTTTACGCCATTTTGCAGCCTCCAGACTTTGCTCATTCTGAAAGGGCTATTTTCTCATTGAGCCATGATCTTTACGTGATCAAAATGTGAAGATTGATCTTTGTTTGCTTGACAGCAGGCTGATGTCCACACAGTAACGACAGGTTTCAGAGTAGCAGCCGTGTTAGTCTGTATTCGCAAAAAGAAAAGGAGGACTTGTGCCACCTTAGAGACTAACCAATTTATCTGAGCATAAGCTTTCGGGAGCTACAGCTCACTTCATCGGATGCATTCAGTGGAAAATCTGGCTTTGTCAATCTGTTTCTTCTCTTCAGCAGCTGGGTATCGTTGTAAGAATGCTTGATAGAGATCTTGTAGGTATTTGTCTCTGTCTGTGGGGTTGGAGCAAATGTGGGTGTATCGTAGAGCTTGGCTGTAGACAATGGATCGTGTGGTGTGGTCTGGATGAAAGCTGGAGGCATGTAGGTAGGCATAGCAGTCAGTAGGTTTCCGGTATAGGGTGGTGTTTATGTGACCATCGCTTATTAGCACGGTAGTGTCCAGGAAGTGGATCTCTTGTGTGGACTGGTCCAGGCTGAGGTTGATTGTGGGAAGGAAATTGTTGAAATCATGGTGGAATTCCTCAAGGGCTTCTTTGCCATGTGTCCAGATGATGAAGATGTCATCAATATAGCGCAAGTAGAGTAGGGGCATTAGGGGACGAGAGCTGAGGAACCGTTGTTCTAAGTCAGTCATAAAAATGTTGGCATAGTGTGGGGCCATGCGGGTACCCATAGCAGTGCCGCTGATTTGAAGGTATACATTGTCCCCAAATGTGAAATAGTTATGGGTGAGGACAAAGTCACAAAGTTCAGCCACCAGGCTTGCTGTGACATTATCGGGGATACTGTTCCTGATGGCTTGTAGTCCATCTTTGTGTGGAATGTTGGTGTAGAGGGCTTCTATATCCATAGTGCCTAGGATGGTGTTATCAGGAAGATCACCGATGGATTGTAGTTTCCTCAGGAAGTCAGTGGTGTCTCAAAGATAGCTGGGAGTGCTGGTAGCGTAGGGTCTGAGAAGGGAGTCTACATAGCCAGACAATCCTGCTGTCAGGGTACCAATGCCTGAGATGATGGGGCGTCCAGGATTTCCAGGTTTGTGGATCTTGGGTAGCAGATAGAATATCCCAGGTCGGGGTTCCAGGGGTGTGTCTGTGCAGATTTGTTCTTGTGCTTTTTCAGGGAGTGTGGAGAATCAAAACAAAATCCCAAGTGGTCCCCAGTTTGTTGTGACTATTTTGCCCAGCCTTAGAAGTGATACCGGTCTGAGGGAAACATACACCATATTCAAACAACACATGGGAGAATATTTGCAATAGGGTGTCAGGTTCTAGCTCCCTACACTGAGATGCACAGTCCTTCTGACTCACCCTGGTACCAGGTGTCATGGTCCTGTATAAAGATACAGAGCTATCCTTCTGACTCACCCCGATTGCCAGACCCAGTGGATCTTATTGGCTTCAACCCAGGAGTATAAACAATTAAATCTCTCTTTGAGGTAGAAGGGAACTAAGGCAAGGAACAGAGAGGGCTTGCAGGGAGTAACCTTAGAATTCCTTAGAGGAAGCTGAGTTTGCAGTTTATATAATAGATATTCGAGTTACAGATAAAGAAAACCTGTGTGTTCTGAGAGCAGGGCAAGAACGCTACATGCTTGCAGTGTTTATTTTTAGAATTCTGCTTTTTCAGTTTCTCTCGGCTCCTCTTCGGTGCAATTCCCCAGGGTAACAGTAACCTGCCCTACCAAATCAGTTCTTACTCATTTGCTGTTCTTCCTTTATCAAAAGAATGAGAAATGCAATCTTGCATCTTGCTTCGTAAGGCTTTCTTCCACGTTCTTGGGTACTGGATTGCTCCAAAGCCTAAAACGACATTGCAATGGTTATCCGTGGTTAGAAATATCCCCAGATAACCTTCCTCCTTCCTGCTGGGGTGCAGTTCATAACTGTCTGCCCCTAATCCACAGGGCCTGATTGGAGAGGGAGGTCTGGACCACTGGCACACACGCGCAGTGGTGAGAGGGGCCTGGGTGTAGCACGGCTTTAGAGGCAGAGCTGCAGCTGGGGTTGGGGAGCACAGAGGCTTGTGACCTGCTAGCTGGGGTGGGATGAGTTGTCTATCTTGGGGGAGAGATTTCGGATTCAAAAGACAAGGGTTCATTGTGGTATCAGAAGTGGGAGGAAGAGCTGACCTAATAAACCCACAGAAAAATATTCCAAAATGTAATGAGAGGGAGAAATGTGGGATGCAGTCATTCCTCGGTGTAGCAGGGAACAGCAAGTGATGCAGGAGTGCTCAGCATGATACAGCAGCAAAATAGACCAATGTCGTTTGGACCAGCTTGTGCAAAGACAAAGACGGGGAGGGGGCCATCTCTCTCTCTCCAGCTCTGCTGTGACTGCACTTGGAATACTGTTCTGGGGGCCCCGTTACCGGGGGATATTGTCAAATTGGAGGGAGTTCCAAGAACAGCCACAAGAATGATCACAGGGCTGGAGGGACTAGGAAAGATGTTAAATGGAGTTCAATACCTAGAGCTTGGCTAAGCAATGACTCAAGTTGGGAGAAACAAAGGAGTCTCCAAGCATGGGAAAGATGTAGTCACCAAGAGCGAAGATGGATCGTTTGTGGGAGAACACAAGAAAGTACAACCAGGTGTAACAAGATGTAGAAAAATGGAAGGGGAAATGCAATACCAGGATAAGCTTGCTGACAGTGAGATGTATGAAGCTGTCTAATAGCTTCCCAAGGGGAGTGGTGGGAGTCCCATGGAAAACCAGAGCAATAGAAAATGCACAATAAGGAGCAATCTCACACTGGGCAAAAGGGTGGGCTAGATGGGACCTATGTGGTGGTGTTGTAGCTGTCTCGCTCCCAGGATATTAGAGATAAGGTGGGTGAGGTAATATCTTTTACTGAACCGACTTCTGTTGGTGAGAGAGACAAGCTTTTGAGCCACACAGAGCTCTTCTTCAGGTCTGGCCCAGCAGAAG